GCGGACCGGTGATTAGCGATGCGTCTTCCACCTAACGAGCCTGATGATTATGACCCGATGCACGCCTTACAAAACTATACTACACCAACGAACGTGGATGAGGCCCGCGAGGGAGTTGGCCGCCGCTGGCAGCCACGTGTGGGGTGTGGCCCGATGATGTATGTGTGTGTGTGTGTGTAGCCACTCCGGGCAGGGCGACACCGAGTCGGTGGTGTGGCGTCCAATCGGTGCGGCGAGACGCGGACGTGCGCTTTTGATGACGTGCAGAGACTGCCGTGGGCAGGCCGCGTAGCCGCGAGGCCGTGCGCGTCGTGTCAACTACTGTACTTAACGGGTGAACAATCTCTGATGGCGCGCGGTTTCTCATCTTTTGCTCTTGTCTTTTGCCCTTTCCCGGCAGCGGTGTCGCTATGCGTCCCCGCAGCCAGTGCGGTGCGGCGGTACGAAGCACGCGCGAGAAGCCCCAGTCGTTGTCTGTGTGCCTGGCGTATGATGCACTCAATTCAATACTCACTCCGAGCGCTCTGCATGACTGGAGATAATGGACAACATGCACTACCAGCTGACGACGCCCGTGACGGGCTTTGTTTCTCCCCACTCCCCACACGCACCCTAATTTCCTCTTTTGCTGCTGCTGCTGCTGCGATGCCGTGGTGGTGGTGGCGGCGGGAGGAGGAGGAGGGAGGGGGCGTGCCACTGCTGCCGCGAATGATGCGTGGAAATGGAATTACCATCGGAAGGCGCCTGGCGCAAGTTGACGACGCGATGCCGTGTGCATACTACCTCAACTGTTACTCGTACTACTGAAGCGGCGTGCCCACCCTCCCTCGTTGTCCTCCTTTTCCTCCTTCCCCTTGTCCCCTCCTCTGCGACTGCGACCGCGCCGTGGCAGTGATGACCCCAACTTGTTTGCACATTTGCTGACCCTCGTGAGTGACCCGCAGGAATCTAAGAACACCAGCTGATGCTTGGCGTCCCTTCCCTTTCGCCCCGTCCCGTGCCCTCGCGGCGGTGCTGCCTGGCGGCGCGGCGTGCTGACTCCACAAACTGCGGACCGGTGATTAGCGATGCGTCTTCCACCTAACGAGCCTGATGATTATGACCCGATGCACGCCTTACAAAACTATACTACACCAACGAACGTGGATGAGGCCCGCGAGGGAGTTGGCCGCCGCTGGCAGCCACGTGTGGGGTGTGGCCCGATGATGTATGTGTGTGTGTGTGTGTAG